CCTGCAATACTGACAGGTGAAATCTGGGTAGATAATCTTCACCCAAGAAGCTGAGATAAGACTGTTTTTGTTTTGTTACCACAATCTGTCCATCATAGACTAGTTAGTATATAACACATGAGATTATCAAATTTAATTAAAAACTAATTTCCTTGTATTTAAGTAATAAAGAAAGATGTTAAGTTATAGTACTAGGTTCTAACCTAATTTTGTACTTTAGTTCTAGAGAAAGTGGAGAAATATATTACAAAGCAAGTCAGCATAAATAGTCAAGTCAAACTTATAACTATAGAATTGTTATTCAAATTAGAAAAACTGTAATTGGCAGTAGGCAGGTTTACTCAGACTAGATGATGAGAAAATTATAGTCAGTTTCCCACCATTAGTTCATAACTATTGACTTTGAACTTGTGATACTGGAAGTACACATGGATTACTCTAAACAGTTATTAACAGTATATTATGACCTTATTTAGACATGACTAAATCTCAGAATTCCTGCAAGGCATGATAAGATAAATATAATATTGAACCTGTAACTATTCGTTAGCTGATGTTTCTTGCCTCTGGCACTAGACAAATGGCCATTGATGAGATTCCGTTTTATAGAAAATTACGTCTTGTTTGAGTAAATGTAGCAAGAAACACTGTAATAGTAGATGGTTAAAGTATTTAATGTGCTTAATTAGGAAGCTGAATGTTAAACATGAAGACAGCTGATTTCAGATCTTGCAGTCTCTGGCAGATGTTTCTTTAACCAAGGTTATATGCCCACTGATTAATGTAATCAGATATCATGTTGTCCAATTATTTTGCTTGTAAGCAAGATTAAAACTTTAAGGATTCTTGAGTTTTGAAAAAAGCTTGATATCTGGTTTATGAGCTTTTAATATACATTTTCGACAACTGATTAAACTTATTGTCCTGTTCCACTTTTAATTTGGTGTAAATCCAACATTTTTATAAGTTTTATAAGATTGATCTTCCCACTTTTCATCACGAAAGATTAGTTTATATTAGTTTGCTTTAATTTATACAAATCAATGTAAAATTATGTCATCAATATTTTGGAGAGATTTACATCCCATTCATCAGCTGCATTGTCTGCAAGATAATGATAAAAATTAGTATTGCTTACATTATATTTCTGTCTGAAATTCAATGATTTATAATAAAAAGCATTTATTATCTGTGTTTTGGTGAGTCTTTTGCAGACTTTACTTTTTATACGGTTTTTGAGAAAGTAAAAAACACATCAAATTTGGCTTGTAAACACAATAAGGGATACAGATTTGTATCCAATCTTAATGAAACTTGGTTTGTAGGTATATAGGATTGAGATCTCAGTCAAGTTCAAAATTAGCTTGTTTTGAGTGAACTGTTTTTGAATTAATGACTTAGTGAAAATGCATCAAATTTGCATGTAAAAACAATAGAGACTATAGCCTAAATCAGATCTTTATGAAACTTGGTATGCATGTATTAATTGATGAAATCTCAGTCAATAATGAATGGCACATTTTGAATGAACGGTTTTTGAGTTATTGCCCTTGACTTAGTGAAAATGATCACATGATCGGGGCTACAGTTATTGATATTGATTTAAAAAGATTTGTGTAAAAACTTAGCATAACTGTCCCTAAATTGATGAGATATTCAAAGTTTTTGAACTACAAATGCAAATTTTCAATATGTGAAGATTTTGTGTTATTATGAAGATCTGTCTTTTCTGACAGCTGCCTGTTGGGCATATGATACCGTCCTTGCCTGGCAAGCTATTTGTAGTTTAGTATATATACTTCTTATGTGCTGCCCCAATTTCTCAAAGAGTCTTTATGTAACAATTGTTTCTTTTTTTAAAGGAATTAGTTTTTATATATTTTAACTAAACATCAATTAACAAAATGGATGTATGTTGAGTTTTTTCATGGGCTCAATAAGATACATAATCTAATATCAGTGGTATGATGTTCTATTAAAGTGTTATAGTAATAAGTAAGTAAGACTTGACGAATGTTGATGAAAGAACATATATAAAAGACTGGATAAATTGTGATTGTAAATGACAATAATAGTAACAAACAGTCTCCCTAGTGTAGTTATGAATGAAAATTTAATTTGGATCTAAAATAGATAAGAAAGAGTTGAAAATTATTTGAGTAATTATTTGAACTATTGACATTTGTTGTGGCCTTAAACCGTTTATAACATGAAATCTGATTGGTTTACACTTGTAAACTTCGTTTCTAACATTAATTTTGATAGGTAAATACTGATAATAAGACTACTTTAATGTTGAACACGTTTCCCACAATCATTTCCTCATGTCTCAAGAAAACCTGGCGGCAATTTTTCCAACCTTTGACAAAATTGTCTTAAACGGTATTTGTTTTCTTCACGAGTTTTTCTTCATTTTGGAAAGATGTCTGCTAGTAATGTCTGGCTTCTTTTCAGATTTGATAAACATAGGAAATTGATTTTCTTTTGAACGTTGACAAAAACTGTGGGTGTTGTTTTTTTTATTTATAGATAAGTTAGATCATTGTTCTGTCATGCCGATCTGTTTCATTTCACACTAATCCTAGCAGGAAATTTATACTTATCAACACGACTGTTTTCAGGAATTAAATAGGGGCAGACACAGTTTCTTCATGTCTTTCATAATTGTACAAAATTTATCCCAATTCCCCTACATTAAAGTTAAAACACATTGTCAATTTTATACACCCACATGGGATCACCCATTTCTGTCCAATTGTATGTACACTCTCAATGGCATAATTCTTGACAAAACTTAGTGAATTTTATATCATCATCAAAGAGTAAATCCTATTAGAAATCGCTAATAAATTTTGTTAGCTTGTTAATTGACAAATAAGATATGAGTGATTGATGTTGTTAACTCGCAATGCTGTTTGGTGTTGTTTACACACGATGCTGTGATTGGGGTTGTTTACTCACAATGCTGTGATTGGTGTTGTTTACACACGATGCTGTGATTGGGGTTGTTTACTCACAATGCTGTGATTGGGGTTGTTTACTCACGATGCTTTGATTGGGTTGTTCACTCACGATGCTGTGATTGGGATTGTATAATCACGATGCTGTGCTTGGTGTTGTTAACTCATGATGCTGTGATTGGTATTGTTTACTCACGATGCTGCGATTGGTGTTATCTCATGATGCTGTGATTGGTGTTGTTAACTCACGATGCTGTGATTGGTATTGTTAACTCACGATGCTGTGATTGGTATTGTTTACTCATGATGCTGTGATTGGGGTTGTTTACTCATGATGCTGTGCTTGGTGTTGTTTACTCACGATGCTGTGATTGGTGTTGTTAACTCACGATGCTGCGATTGGTATTGTTAACTCACGATGCTGTGATTAGAGTTGTTTACTCATGATGCTGTGCTTGGTGTTGTTTACTCACGATGCTGTGATTGGTGTTGTTAACTCACGATGCTTCGATTGGTATTGTTAACTCACGATGCTGTGATTAGAGTTGTTAACTCACGATGCTGTGATTAGAGTTGTTAACACATGCTGCTGTAATTTCTCATTCACCTTTTATTTCCAACATACCAGAAACCTGTAATATAGTTAGTCTTATATTGTCTTTATATGATAGGAAATTATTTTGGTTGTATTTGATATAATAACCATGTTCATACTTGTTTATGTTGTTTGTAATATAATTATATTTCTGCTACTTCATCAAGACGTCTGGTAATTTCCAGAATTTTATCTATATTGTCAAGGACTACAATTGATTTGTCTGGCGAAGGGGATAAAAACAGATATGTGATATTGAAGGAACTTCTGGTAAAACAAGAGGTGGTGAAACCATCTTTTATTATAGCAAGGTTACGCGACAAATCTTTTTATTTAATAAAACATATTAAGAGAAAATCTTTGTGTCTGGTCTGTTGAATCAACTTGAAGTGAGTTATTGATTTATTTGATTCTCACTTGTCTTTATTTTCACCATATAAAATTCACACCCAGACTTCCTTCATTGTTTTATATTATAACATTAAATTCTCACCCTTGTTTATATTCTAAAACAGTTCTTTCTGTAATACTCTTAATTAAGGTATCACAGTCAGTTTTCGTAGAGAATATATGGTTAAAGGGAAATAACAACAAAATAGAATAGCCTTTCCTTGACTGATAAGGTTTATCCTTTGGCTTTTTGGCATTGTGTTTTTGTAGCAATGTTCATTTGATTTCATAAAAGTGAGTGCAAGTATACTGGGTACATTTTAAACTATTTATATGCAAGTCATGGTGAACAGTTTGATATTTGGATAACTGGAAAAAGAATTTGATAAACAGACTGATTCAATAAACAAGGATTGAAAAACGAAGTTTGTATTGTATTTGTTGAAAACTGGCAGAAGGATTTAATGCAAACTCCTGTTATCTTAATTTGGCACTCCCCCTTTATAAGAAGGTTGCATATTTTTTTTATTTGAATAAGGAACTTCTACAATGCAGAAAAAAGAATTTTGCAAAGAAAATGTGGTCAATATATAACTAGGTTCTGTCTTTTGGACACACTCACAGATTGATACACATTCCATTCTATTTACACAAATTATTTGGATAATGTTTATTTTACATAAGTATATACAATAAAATATGTAATTTATTTTTAACATTGATTGATATGTAAAAATATTTATTATGCTCTAATCTTGCTGTAAAATGTTGCAATATTTAAATGAAATACAAAAAGAACAATTTAATCCCCTGCTTTCATTTTGAATGTTTTCCAATACAACAAAAAACAGAATTCAATTGTTCATCCAAATAGTTCTTATGTACAAAGATATTATTTTGATTTCGTGACTTTTGATAAAAATGAACTATTCAAACAATGTTAGTAGACTCAAGAATAAAAGTTTCTATATTGCTTAATGGTACTTACTGTTGATAAATGAACAAATTTCAAAAATATCTTTTTTTTTGTTTCAATTATAAAGATTGTTGTAAAATTATAAAAGGGAAATAATGAACACAATAAGACAAGACAGAAATGAAATGTGGACAGAATTGGCTGAATTGTTATCTTGTTTGGAGTAGACTGTAGCTACTTTGCCTGTTTTTTTAGGCTCAGGTTCAGGTTGTGAGTTGGGTTGAATATTATATGTTAGTTGTGGAGCATAAATGTCTTTTAGTTTGAAACTACGATACACAACACGGTTATTTAATGGCTGCACAGGGCGGAAGTTATCAACCAAGGGATCCTGAATCCATTCTGGAATATCTTCATTAATAGCATCTATTGGTGCTGGTGATCCATTCAATCTTTCAGAATATTCCTTCATGGATTCATCAGCACGTTTAGCTGATTCTTCATCTACGGTCACCTTAGTTAACTGTGGATCCTGGATAGTACTAGCTGTATTCTGTGAGGCTTCAGGATGACTATGATTCTTCTGATGTTTCTCATTGATAAGGCTAGTAATTAGTTCACCTTTCTGTACAGAATCAGATTTAATACCAATCTCTTCTAGAACTGCTCTGGCACCTTCCTCTGCTGCCCTCTGTTGACGACGTTTAGCAGATCTCTTACTGTGTTTGTTACCATGATGTTTATGGTGTCTATGTTTATGTTGTAAAACTCTTCTGAACTTCAACAACTGAAATAAATGGTAAACATTTATAGGCCATTTATTCTTGATAGACCCTCCATTTTGCTGTGTGACTACATATTTCCTCAATAAACTATCAAATGCGTTAAAGTCTTTGTGTAAAAAAATTAAAATTTCAATGTAAATACAAAGTAAGGTCTATAAACTGATGGTGTTATAAATATTCATAACAGTTAATCAATTTGATTATGCTTGGAAGGTTTTGGGTGTTGATAATGTTTTTACCTGTCCGAAAGATATTTTTTGTTTTTGATGAAATACTGTCCATGTTACTGTTTCAAAACAACCTGGTGTAGTTAGTGAACCATTATAACGATAATATTTAGACATATCTTCTGGTAATAAATTTCTTAATGAGACAGCTTCTATTTCTTCTTCTTTATCCATTTCTGTAAATCAAATCATTGTTATATGTCAATTCAAGTCATTAATTAGGGGCTTTATTTATATTTTACATTTTAGACTATAATTAGGAGTTAAAATCAAAAACTAGTTAAATTCCAGTCAAATTGCCTGATGAAACAGAATAGATATTATAAACACCTCAATATATGAACCCTTGAACATAGCAGAATGTGCAGAAACTTTTGACTCAGAATAACTAGCATTTTTAGACAGATTTCATATTGTCATGAGCATAATGATATTCATATTCTTACCTGGATCTTTAACATGTTGTAGTGCTTGAATAATAGGATCATAGACTGGATTAGGTTGTTCTTGAACTTCAAATAGAACACCTAATACAGCTAGACCACCTTTCTCTGTTACAGCTTCACCAATATCTCCATACAGATCACTGTTATAACTCACAATATGCATCTACAAATAAATATAGGAATCACTCAGAACTGTTGCAAGAGTCATAAAAATATTATAACAGACCTTAGACTATCACAGGATATTGGGACTGAAGTAAAAGTTAAACACAGAAAAAATCCTGTTCGAAGATTTTGATAAAAAACATATAAACAATCAACTAATTTGTCTCTTGTAGAAACATCCCATAAAATACATTTATGATGGATATACTTCCTCACATGAAAAGTTCATTTGCTGTTCAAATGTTTATCTGCACCGTTCAGAATCTCTTCAATCAGGAGATACTTACCTCAATAGGATAAGCTATAGAGTCCAGTAAATGTTCAGAACCCATATGATCTTCACTACCCCAATGAAAGTGAAATTGTTCTACTTTATATACATGCTGTAATCCACCATTAGTAAAGTAGAATTCACCTTCAGTGTTAACTTGAACTGAAAAAGAATGGAACAAACTTTCATTCATCTTGTGGATAATGCAACCTCTAAAGGATAATTATCAAATATGATTATATCATAATGACAAAATGATTTAACTGACAAAAGCAATAGTGCCAGCAATGCCAAAGCTTGCCAGTTCTTATCCTTGCTTTGGAAACCAATATAGCCCTGTTTTGGGAACAAGTAATAAGTAAAGTACTAACTGGCGTGACCATTATTTTTGATTTTCATTCGTGATCCTGGTTTAGGTGGATCATACCATAGAGCAAAATCTTTTAAATCAGGATTGTAGATAGTTCTTTCTGGTCTAATATCGATTGGTGATTGAGCTACACCAGCGCAGGCTGCAGGAAATAATTCATGCCAACTCTGGGGACCTGAAAATCGTCATTACATTGTACTGAAACATATTCAATCTTAATATCTGCAAGTAATTTTTATAGATGATTTAAAGTACTTATTCTTTAGGGAAAAATATATGTCTTAATAACAGATAGGATAAAAAATTGACAAAGATCTCCATGTAACATCCAAGAATGTCAGAATGATGCTGTCCTTTCTAACACTTGATTCTAAGAAAATGTTAAATCTATTCTTCATAACTTACCAGTTGGACCTTTATATTTCCATTGACCACATTCTGTTAAACCTGAAATATATATAATAAGTGTCTTGAGGGGACTCTTTTAAATAGTTTGGACAACTTGAATGTTATATTGGTATTATTAATTTTAATGTACCATATCAATATAATTGTAGCGAAGCATTATATATGTTTGTAAATATTATTAGATATTTCAATGATATGAGAAATATGAGTTGAGCAATGGAAATATCAATTAAAAAAATGGAAACATAAAATGAAACAAAGTGAAACTCATATTTCTTGAAACATGAAATATAATTCAGACTTGAAAAATAAAATTAATTATGCATAACAACTTTATTACACAGTTTTTCACTCCCATTTTGAACTTACAAAGTCTAAAGTGTATACTTCAACAAAGGTATTGTTGTAACTCTCCCAAATGTAAAATTTATCATTTAAAAGTGACTTCAGTAGACTTTGACAAGGTTAAATGTAGTGTAGAATTTGATTCTTTTATTGTTTAATATAATATTTATCAGATTAAGACTTTAGTATTAAAAATTGTATCATATTATGATAATATCTTGATGTCTTTAAGTTGACAGGAAATATGAGGCAGATATATTAGTGATGTTTATTGAAATGAAAATAAATAGTAAATGTAGTTTATGATGATCATATAAAACTTTAAAAATAAATAAATGAATGAAAACCATTTTTCAGAAGGGATTTCGGAAATATTCCTCCAAAATATTGAATAATTCAGAAATGGTGCTTTCACACTAAAACACTTTTAAACATGCACATCAAAAATATATTTTGAATAAATTAGAAAAAAAAAAATGAAATTTCAAAATCAGAGTGGCCAGGGAATTAGAGTAAATGGAATGGCTGGCAGATAAAGTCTGAACCTCTCTCTCAATTTAGAAATATTCAGGTACATGCTCTTCCGTTTTAGTTTTAATAGATTCATTCACATAGCCTTAAGTGCAAACTTGGTATAAATAGCTTGTAGAAGAGGTTAAACAAAGGACAATTACTTTACAATAATAGAAACATGCAATGAAAACAGCAATTATATCTTGTACTGGCTGTTGTGTAAAAAAAACATCAAAGGACCAAATAAAAGTGTTTTCACATGTACAAAATATAGCCTGAAGGTAGAATATAAGCTATAAATTGATATTTCAATGTTGATTCTAAAATTAGAAGAGATCAATGGTATTGTTTAATTGATCAGGGTGTAGAGAAAACTATTATAGATACTTAAACAGGTATTATTAACCATTGCTGTAAGATTGTACAAAGTCTTAAATTGTCTATTATAAATATATTAATATGTCACTACAACAAATCTAATGACCTTTCCTTTTTATTCCAGTCAGAGATTCAGGGGATCCTTTCCCCTATGTGCCCACATGATATTAAATGATGTTCAAGTTTAAATAGTGATATTTAGTTAGAATTTCCTTTAGGATATATTTTAATTAAAGTGGTAGACATTAATAAATTATGTCAATTTATATTGAAATGACTCACAAAATTATATGATATTTACAGTACATTGAGTACTTTCAATAACTTTTATGAGAAATTGCCTCCCGAAAGATTTGTTTTATGTTCAAAATATGTAAATTAGATACAAGGTAGGTGAAACTCCTTCAAAGATGACCTTGTTGACAGGTTATTTCATTGTTTTTTATAAGATGATAGATCAGAACTAGATATTTTTAAATTGCCAACATGCACACTTTTTTCTTATTTTGAAAGAAATCATAAAATGATGAAGTGATCATAAAGTCAAGGGACACCATCCATGAAGGACAAGTTTTATCAAGTCAAGGTGTTCCATTGCTTCAATTAGTAGATTCTGTTGATGTATTGCAGAAGGGACACCATCCATGAAGGACAAGTTTTATCAAGTCAAGGTGTTCCACTGCTTCAATTAGAAGATTCTGTTGATGTATTGGAGAAGGGACACCATCCATAAAGGACAAGTTTTATCAAGTCAAGGTGTTCCACTGCTTCAATTAGAAGATTCTGTTGATGTATTGGAGAAGGGACACCATCCATAAAGGACAAGTTTTATCAAGTCAAGGTGTTCCATTGCTTCAATTAGTAGATTCTGTTGATGTATTGGAGAAGGGACACCATCCATGAAGGACAAGTTTTATCAAGTCAAGGTGTTCCATTGCTTCAATTAAAAGATTCTGTTGATGTATTGGAGAAGGGACACCATCCATGAAGGACAAGTTTTATCAAGTCAAGGTGTTCCATTGCTTCAATTAGTAGATTCTGTTGATGTATTGGAGAAGGGACACCATCCATAAAGGACAAGTTTTATCAAGTCAAGGTGTTCCATTGCTTCAATTAGTAGATCCTGTTGATGTATTGGAGAAGGGACACCATCCATGAAGGACAAGTTTTATCAAGTCAAGGTGTTATATTGCTACAATTAGAAGATTCTGTTGATGTATTGGAGAAGGGACACCATCCATGAAGGACAAGTTTTATCAAGTCAAGGTGTTCCATTGCTTCAATTAGTAGATTCTGTTGATGTATTGGAGAAGGGACACCATCCATGAAGGACAAGTTTTATCAAGTCAAGGTGTTCCACTGCTTCAATTAGAAGATTCTGTTGATGTATTGGAGAAGGGACACCATCCATAAAGGACAAGTTTTATCAAGTCAAGGTGTTCCATTGCTTCAATTAGTAGATTCTGTTGATGTATTGGGGAAGGGACACCATCCATGAAGGACAAGTTTTATCAAGTCAATGTGTTCCATTGCTTCAATTAGTAGATTCTGTTGATGTATTGGAGAAGGGACACCATCCATGAAGGACAAGTTTTATCAAGTCAAGGTGTTCCATTGCTTCAATTAGTAGATTCTGTTGATGTATTGGAGAAGGGACACCATCCATGAAGGACAAGTTTTATCAAGTCAAGGTGTTCCATTGCTTCAATTAGAAGATTGTGTTGATGTATTGCAGAAGGGACCCTATTCATGAAGGACAAGTTTTATCAAGTCAAGGTGTTCCATTGCTTCAATTAGAGGATTCTGTCGATGTAATGGAGAAGGGACACCATCCATGAAGGACAAGTTTTATCAAGTCAAGGTGTTCCATTGCTTCAATTAGTAGATTCTGTTGATGTATTGCAGAAGGGACACCATCCATGAAGGACAAGTTTTATCAAGTCAAGTTCTGTTAATGTATTGCAGAAGGGACACCATCCATGAAGGACAAGTTTTATGAAGTCAAGGTGTTCCATTGCTTCAATTAGTAGATTCTGTTAATGTATTACAGAAGGGACACCATCCATGAAGGACAAGTTTTATCAAGTCAAGGTGTTCCATTGCTTCAATTAATAGATTCTGTTGATGTATTGCAGAAGGGACACCATCCATGAAGGACAATTGTTTTTTTTTTTATCTTTACACAACTTTTTAAATATATAGTAATTAGAATTTGTCAATTTGTTGTTGATTGTCTTTGCTTACTCATGTTTTTGGTACTGTATTTTTACTGGACAATTTTTTTATCAATGTATTTTGTACATGTACACATATATGTCAAATAGAGGTCTTCAGCAGTCTTCATTACTTTTATTATTTAAAGATAAGTCTATTATTGTGAAGGATTGGCAGGAGACCATGACAGCAACTGGTAATATACAATGATACAGGGGCACTGTTGTATACTTACATTATGAGTCACATGTAATCTATCATAATATATCACCTAGGATGTCAGTTGACATGTCAAAAAGATGTCAGTTGACAACATGGAATTTTAACCTATCTATATGCTATGTTCATGTTTTTTTTATTAAGATGTATCGTATTTAGAATTTTGAATATTAGATTTTGTTCGAGATAAAATAAATAAACAAAGCACCAGTATTATAGTTCCAAACCAAAATTATGTTAGAAAAGCATGCTTTATTTTGATGAAAAACTATTATTTGTCAATAAGGAATGAAATAATGTTTGAAAGAGAAAAAAAAAGATTCAATCTTAACTACGGAGAATTAGGCTTGCTAAGAATACATCAAGATACCAATTTCTAAAACTCTTTTTTTAGAATAATGTGATCTGACATTATTTTAAAGATTAAGTACCATTGTAAATGAAGTAAAATCATATATCATCAAATTCAGTCAGCTTATCTTCCTGTATACAATTTTTCTTCATGATTTAACAGTTGACACTTTCTAAGGATGGACATTGTTTGTTTCCTTCACTGAACAAACTAGAAGAGAGAGAAGGCTGTGGTGGCCCAATAAAGAATGTATAATGATACAGGACAGAAGGGTTGATGGTAACATGCATTTAAAATACTATGGGCAGATGAGCGTATTTTTTTGTCTGATCATGATGATTAAAATTGCGATCAATTTTTCACACCTGATCCTGAAGGGGCCCACATAATAATAACTTATGTCAATCAGCAGAATATTTTTATATGATTGGGACAAAATGGTTTAAAAGTATCAATTATCCGATAAAATACACTGAACAAACGCAGACGAGCAAATTTGCTAGCAAATGGAATAACTTGTGCAAATACTTTTATGATGACAGTCATACAGTCGTAGACATGAGCTGATTTTGAAATTTGCTGCAATCGGCAATAAAATATGCTTGTCTGCTCACAGCATTAAGTGAGACAATATGCTATCTTACGCCACAGAGAAATAATCCAATTTAATGACCCTGCCAGCCTGTTTCTTTAAACATTACCAATAGAGAATTGTTTATTCTCTGCACACTTTTTTTTCCTTAAGGG